AGTAGCCTGAAGTATTTTGGTATTTAAGAAATTTAAACAGTAGTCATGATAGCACTCTCACTTAAGGCCACAGAACTCATCCCATTATTAGTTAGCTCCACGATTTTCTTTGCTGTGTCCACTTTTCATGTTGTAAGATCTCCTTGTCCTTTACTAGCTGCTAGCTTTTGGACCATTAGGACTCCTTTCAAGGCAGGGAAATCTCTGATTCTACATCTTAGTCACTAATTTTGAAGTGCTCTTATAATTGTTAACAGAATAAGGAATTATAATCCTATTTATTATTAAAGCCTAACCTTGAATGTGTTAAATAAAAATATTAGTATGCTCCCATTAACATGCCACCATTTCCAGCCAGAATAAAAATCTTAATGCAAAGTATTTATCATTTGTAAAGTTTGGCTATGTCTAGAATAATGACTGTCTTCCTAATTTAAGAGTTCAGCCTTTTATGTTTGTTTCTCTGTGTGAGTACATGTGTAAGTGTGTGAGTATACATGTGAGTATGCCTGTGTACATGTGTAAGTTTATGAGTATGCATATGAGTATGCATGTGTACATGTGTAAGTGTGTGAGTATGCATGCGAGTATGCATGTGCACATGTGTAAGTAACATATGACATGTGTTGGTGCGGGTCCCTACACATGTGGACACCAGAGGGAGACATCAGGGCCCCGCCTTTTCATTCTCTGCCTTATTTGAGCCTGGAGCTAGACCGGCAGCCTCCTGTCTGTGCCCCAGTGCTGGGGTTGTCCACAGAGAAGTCCTGCCCACTCTTCCCTGCGTGCTGGGGGCTTGAATTCAGGTTCTCATGCTTTCCTGAAAGGCATCCTTCTTACCCATTAAGCCATCTCTCTAGCTCTGGGCTTGTCTTTTAAATCTGTGAGAGCATATTGTAAAAATAAGAGAAAACAATGTAAATAATTCTTAATGAAAAATGTTTCTTACATTATGGGCTTTTTATGATATCTATTTAGAAATTACGCTTTTTTTCCTAAAGATATCAATAGTAATAAATATTTTTCTTTTTACATTAAAATCCAATAGAACTTAAAAGTAATTTGTTTGTTTATTTATTTATTTATTTATAGTCTGTATCAGAAATTCAGCGAAAGGTCACTTAAACGACGCTTCCCATTAGTTTTACTGTATGGTGCAGCTAGCTATAGGAATAATGGCTGTAAGTAGGAAACTGAGCCTCTCTTCCAGATTTCCTTGCTAGGAACCAAGCAGTTCCCATGCTTTTGCAACTCACTGGAGACTAGAATACAATTTCTGCGTTTGATAGTTCTTTTGGCAAATTCTTTCTTTTTTCAAAAACTTTTCATTATCTCCTATGTTATAGTTGTTGTAATTAATGTCTGTTACTGTTCAATTTTTAAGTATTGATACTTGAAGTTTTAAATTTTACTTTAAAATATTTAATTTTTAGAGCAACTTTAGTTTATAAAATGCTAAATAGAAAAAGTGAATTATGCGAAACCCAGGGAACTGTAAAATGATAAGGCTAGAAGTAAGCTTCAGTAATATCCTTAGTTGTTCATGAGTTGTGACACATATACTACACCACCTTAAGATACTGTTTGTAAATGCTTCATTATGTAGATGTGTATTACCTTATGTCCTTATGCTTCGCTATAGAGCCATACAAAGTAGTCGGACTTTTTCCCTTCCCTAAACCCCAACTTTATACTTGACATTTTCATAATAATAGTGTTAACGTTTTAGCCTTTGGAAAGCTGAATTGTTAAGTTCTGCTTTTTTTGTTTGTTTGATTTTGTTTTTTTAAGGCAGGGTTTCCTCTGTGTAACCCTGGCCATTTTGAAACTCACTCCATAGACCAGGCTTGCCTCAAACTCACAGAGGTCCACCCACCTCTGCCTCCTGAGTGCCAAGATTAAAGATGTGTGCCTCCAGCTCTCCCTATAAGGTCTGCTTTCTTAGTACTAATTCAGACAATGTCAAAGGAAGGCAGTATACTGATTAGTGACTTAAGCCTTGACTTCCCAGCACTAAACTCTGTCTAAACTGATCATATGCTATAGCCTTTCAGAGCCTCAGCTAATCAAATGGAAATGGTTATGTTGCCACTGAAATGAGATACTCTGAGTAGGAAAAAAAGAAGTAAAATCCAGATATAGCAGTTCGTTGTACCAGGCTCAATAATGATAGGACAGTGGGCAATAATAAGACTCAATGGTATGATATGATAATTGCTATTTCAGTCTTAAAATCCTACAGTACAGTTTTTTTTGTTTGTTTGTTTGTTTGTTTTTGGTTTTTCAAGACAGGGTTTCTCTGTGGCTTTGGAGGCTGTCCTGGAACTCACTTTGTAGACCAGGCTGGCCTCGAACTCACAGAGATCTGCCTGCCTCTGCCTCCCGAGTGCTGGGATTAAAGGCGTGCGCCAACAACACCCGGCTACAGTACACTTTTTAAGGTTCATACGCTTATCAAAAGCTAGGTAATAAAGAACCCTGAAACATGAGGAAACCAGTTTTATTTTAAAACTTTTAGTTTTTGCCACGCTGTGGTGGCACAGGCCTTTAATCCTACTATTCGGGAGTCAGAGGCAGGTGGATTTATGTGAGTTCAAGATCAGCCTGGTTTTCAGAGCGAGTTCCTGGACAGCCAGGGCTACATACTGAGAAACCCTGTCTTGCAAAGCCAACATAAAATAAATAAGTAAATAAATAAATAAATGTTTAGTTTTCAGCTTGGTTATAGCTAAGATGCTTGATTCTGGGTGTGAGGAAGGGCAGTGTGTATAACATCTGTAGTTTAACAGTGTGGGTGTTCTGACGAGGTAGTTTCTGCTTTGCCTTATTACCTTGGAGGCGGTGTAGTCGATGTCCATCCTGTTGTCAAGAACACATCAATATGGAGCAATAAATTGGGTTGGATATAAGATGATCCTGGACCAGTTATATGTAGTATAGTAAATAAAGCCTGTGGATATTTTGGTAGAAGTGTGGAGCCGTTTCAAAGCTCTTAATTACCAGAAGTGACTAATTCTGCTACTGGTCATTTCATAAATGCCTTGTAAAAATTAACCTGTATTACCTTGATATGCTCACGTGAAACAGCACACTCACACTCGTCAGTTCATGCATCTGTTCAATTCTCTATTTTCCTCTTTCTGTAGTGTTTCCTATAACTTCCATGAATGAGTCAATAATTTCTTTAAAAGGAAAGGTTTGAGGCCGATGATTAGACACTAGGTGTTCAAGTTTAGGGATAGATGGATGGCTCAGTGGTTAAGTGTGTCACCACCTGGCCTCTCTGAGTTTTCTGCAGCTCCACTTCCAGGGGATCTGACACCCTCTTCTGGACACCCTCTTTTGAGCACCAGGCACACACATGCTGCACAGACATACATGCAGGCAAAACATTTGCAACCCTTAAAATAAAATTAAAAAATCTAAATTTGGAAAAAAAAGTTTAGGATAGCAGAACAGAAGAGTTTGTTACTTTTGGCCCAGCAAGAGTTCCAGTATCACTGTAGAGTCAGACTACTTTGTAATAAAATTGGCTCTAAAGTATCTAGCAAATTATAGACAACATAGTGAAAACAGGCTGTAGATTTTCATAGACAGAATTAAGCCAGCTTAATTGCATTGGGATGTAGAATGATACTTTCATTTTCTAGGCCAACAATAAGCCAACAATTTTTATCTTCCAACAGAGTTTTGTAATCATGTGTGTAGGATGCGTTAAGCTAACTTTGGAATGTGTTCAGCATTTTAAGCTGCTGTAGTACTAATGAGAATTTTAACTATGCCAAGAATGTGTTTTATTTTGCCCTTTTAGACATAGCATATGATTCAATAATAGCATGGAAACTCTAATTAGAAAAGTTTAATGCACCCAAATTCAAAACCTTAACATTGTACATAAATATGCAACCTGAATGTGGCTTCTTAATGTATTAAAGAGCTGAATCCAGGTAAGTCTGTTAGACAGAAGATATAATATTACTGGAGAGTACTCTGTCTGTACAGGTTGGGTGATTCATGTATATTTTTTTTCTTTTGGAGACAAGAACTCTTTAATATAGCCTCATAGCCTTGGCTGTCCTGGAACTCACTTTGTAGACCTGGCTGGCCTTGAACTCACAGAAATCCTCCTGCCTCTGCCTTCTAAGTGCTGGGATTAATGGTGTATGCCACCACCACCTGGTGAGATGAGATAGCCCTAAGGCCTTATCACTATAGCAGAAGCAAACGAGTAGCAGAGAAGCCTTGCATGAAGTTGATACTATGTCACAGGAACAAGCAAGGTTATGGATGCTAACAATGCCTCTATTCCCACCAGAAACAACTACCAGCCTTTGGTAAAGGAAAGCATCTGTAGCTTTAGTCATCAGACTACTGCATGTACTACAGTCCCAGGCAGTATCAGTTCACAGTGAAAAATGCCCAGTCCTCTAAATTGAATGCTGTTATTGATATCTAACAGGAAAAAAAAAAAGCAAAGAAACTCTTAGACTTTGAAAATGTCTCTAGCACACTACAGATTTGGTATATTAGAATTATTTGATAAACTAAGTAAATAGTTGAAAATAATAGGAAAATTGAAAAACAAAATTATCAAATATTATTTTTAAAAGTAGCCAAATAGAACATTTGAAAATAAAAATCATTGGGAGCTGGCAAGATGACTCAGCAGATACAGGTGACAGCCATGTCAGCCTGAGTTTGAACCCTAGAGCCCATATGAAGGTAAAAGCAGAGAAGTCCTCCTCTAGTTGTCCTTCGACCTCTCCACATGCAGCAGGACACATGTACCCACATGAACACACAGTACTAAAGCGAGTGAGTAAACAGGCGAGATAAAGGTCAGCAGGTTGTTTAAGCAGCGGTGTGTGCAAACCGACAGAAGCTAGAGGCCAGGCACAGAGTTAACGCCAATGTAAAACCGGATAGTCGAGTATGATTTTAATGTAGACCTCATTGGAAAAAAGGAAGCCAGGGAGTATAAAAGACAACCTCTGCTATCATCTAACTCATTCAAGAAAACGCTGGACAGAATCCAAAATTCATTCCTGATGGAAGTTCTTTATAAAGTAAGACTAGAACTATCATTTCTCAAGCTGGTAAAAAGTTCCGATGAAAAACACAAATGGGTAACATTTTCAATATAATGGTAGAACCAGATACTTTTTCCCTCAGATAGTGTAGAAGACAAGGGTTTCCTTTCTGTTTACGCGTGTTTCACATTGTTCTGTCTGTTGCAGTCGGTAAGAAAAAGAAACAAAAGACTTCCTTTTGGGAACAAAAAAATTAAAGTATGTCATAGGTGACATGATTACCTTCAAACATGTACAGATGTACACATACATGGTGTCTTACCCAGATGCAAACTCACAAAATCCAATGTCAAAGACGATAATAGAGCTATTAAGTTACTTTTGCATTGCTACAGAATACAAAATACACAACCCCTATGATGTCTTTGTCAGTGTTCTGTTGCTATGAAAGGGCACCATGACCACAGCAACTCATAGAAGGAAATATTCAGTTGGGATCTGCTTACAGTTTCAAGGGTTTGGGCCGTCTTTATCCTGACAGGGATCATGGGGAGACACAGGAGACACAGTGCTGGAGAAGCAGCTGACAGTTATGCATCTGGATCTGCAGACACAGGAAGAGAGAGACACTGTGCCTGGTTTGGATTTTGAAAACCTCAGAGTCCACCTCCAGTGACACATTTCTTCTAACAAGGCCACACCTCCTAATCCTTTCAAATAGTGCCACTCCCTGGTGGCCGAACCTTCAAATGCACGAGCTTATGGGACCGTTCTTATTCAGGTTGACACATAACAATAAAGAACCTAGCTCCACTTTCTCTATTTCTACTGTCATTTACAGGGAATTGAACCATATTAATTTTAACAATTATACTGTTTTTATGTAAGGATACCTTTATTTCTCAGAGATCAGTTTATTTCTTCAAAGCCATTGTTCTTTTACTTACTCTCTAATAGTTCACAGAGAAAAAGAATGAAGATGATAAGGTCAGCGTGGCTGATTGGAGCAAACAAACAGTGAATGGGTTTTTTCTTATTTTAGTATAATATCTCTAAATTTAAATTTCCATAAAAATTAAAGTTTATATAAAAACATGAGGATACTATGAAGAACTAATTTTAAGATGTACGTAGAAATGAACACATTTCTAGATAAATAACAACCTTGCAAGTGTCAACTTAGAATTGGAAAGCACAATCTATTTTCCTGTAGCTTTTAAAGAAATTGTGCCTGCTGTTTACACTCTTACCATCAAGAAAACCGTCAGCCCAGATACTTCTTTAAGTGTATTTTACAAAGAATTCAAGGAAGAGATTATTTTGTTATCCTCAAGAAGAGGAGTACTCCCCATTTACCCAACCCATTTAGTCACTCTGTTACACCTTAATACTAATCACAAAGACGAGAAGGAAAGTTATAATCCAGTCCTACTCAGAAGTATACATTGAAAAAAAAGCTACAATATTAATTACTGCAACAGAGCTCAGCAGTATTACTGTCTTGATATAGAGGACGTATTTGACAGTTAATGTATGAATGTCTAACAACAACAACAACAACAAAAAAAAAGCATTAAAGAGACACTAGAACCTTTCAGTTAGACATTTGGAATTCCAGTTCCTCATTTGGTTCCTTTTTTGTGTGTTTGTTTTGTGTTTTTCTAAAAGCAGGGTTTCAAGACAGAGTTTCTCTGTGTAGCCCTGACTGTCCTGGAACTCACTCTGTAGAACAGGCTGGCCTCGAACTCAAGAGTTCTGCCTGCTTCTGCCTCCCTAGTACTAGGATGAGGGCATGTGCCACCACGCCTGGATCCTCATTTGATTCTTGGTTAGCAAATATTTTCTTCCCCCGTGCCTGTCTTTTTACTTTATTGACTATTGTCTGTATGTGTGTATACGTGTATTCCACTCATGTGTGCATATTTGTGTTTGCACATGTGTTGACATATGCATGTAAATGAGGCTACTCAAATTACTAGCTTAAAGCCTATTTCATCTCACATAGAGTGCTGTCTAGGACCAGCAGTGCTTTCGCAGCCTGAGTAACTGGATCACAAAGGACAGGATTTGAGTTTGGAGAGACTTGGCTGTCTGTCTGTCTGTCTGTCTGTCTGTCTGTGTAGACAATGAAACTTTATTTAAAAGCCAAGCCACTTGGAAAATATATTGCCGGCTTGACAGGAAACAGATAGTATATCACTGTTTCAAGTAATTAACTGGTATAAATACAACAAAGTACCTATCCCAAAGCTAAGCTGCCATGTTGGGGCAGCAGCAGTGCTCTGCAGAGCGCAGGTAAAAACGGCCTTTGGTAAGGTGTGTGCCTGTCTTGCTCTGTGTTGATCCTAGTTTTCCTTGGCTCAAGTTGCTTACTTTTAAGCCTCCTTGTTGCTAGTGGATTACCTCTATAAGGCTCTGTTAATTCAGGGGCCTGTGTGAATAATAATGGGTTTGAACTTTTATCTGTGAACTCTAGGTTTTTCCCAAGCCTAGAACTTCTCAGCAGTTCCTATTAGACTGGTTACTCTCAGCTACTAGTGTGTGAGTGACAGTCAGATCCCATTGCTGCTTATGGGCATATGTTACCTTGCTGCAGAAATCAGTGAAGGAAACTTCTCCACGCAGAACAACACTGCCCTGTTTCTTCAGGGGCTTCCAGAATAACAAAATTTGAAGAAATGAACTTTCCCATCTTTATGGCCAGAAAATACAACCTTGAGAAGTTTTTCAAATTGCTCTGTGTCTTAAATCCACTTTGTGCCACTGCATATAAGACAAAACCAAACAGAAAAGATCTGGAACGGAACCTTTTCCTACCTGGGTTTTGTTACAGAGCACGTTCAGGTTAGTGGTAAACGGAAGCTTGGCAGCAGATACATCTCTCCTCAAAATAACCAGCAGGCTGAGGAGACCTGCTGACTTGGATGTCTGTGCAGTGGGAACTTGAGCCCTTGGGACAAAGGCAGTCTCTAGTGCCAGAGCAAGCAGGAGGGATTCTAGGATCTAGACTTCTCCCCTGTGCTTATATCTGTGACCCACATTTTAGCATCCCCTTCTTTCCACCTCACCTTCCAAGATCCAGATGCAAAGCAACTGTGTCAGAGGTTAGCGCCATTTGCCTGGAACTTGTGTGTCCCGTTTTCCACATTGATAAACTCTGTTTAACAGACTAAATGTTCATTCTTCCTTTTAAATGGCCTCCAGTAGCCCCATGGCCACTGGCAATCAGCTCTACTTCCCGTGGAGAACAGAGTCGGACGCCTTCATCTCCTTGGTCATTGCTGGGATGAGGTGCGTGTGGTCATCCACACACTGGGCACAGCTGCCAGCCGTCACTTCACCTGCAGCTCTCTACGCCCTGAATCCACGGTGTCTGACTTTGTCACTGCTGCACCAGGCCAGCCGGTCCTGGAGCCTTTCCAGCTCACTGGTCACCAAGGCCTGGGCTTGAACCAGAGCCTGGCATCGCATTGCACTGGTGCACCTGCTGCACAGGTGCCTGGCTGTCCCACAGAAGCTGGCACTGCACCCAGACACGAGGTCTCCACCTCTTACCACAGTGTCCACAGCCTCCTGCGTCAGAGTCGCGGCACCTCCACATGGCAACACCTCATCTGTCGTTTGTCTGTCCCTCCATCCGTCCATCTATTTTTTTAGCTCGTTTTTTTTGGGGAGGGTGGTCAGGCAAGATGAGACTTAACCCCTCAGGGTTATTTTTTAGCAAAGTGAACTTTTTTCTTTGTCTTATGTTTGCAAATCCAGGATTTCTCTGCTTTGAGTTCAGAGGGTGATTAAGAACTAATTTAAAATTCATATCCATTTGGTGTCTTTGATCGAGTCTGCCGGCTTCCTCATTGCTGACACTCTCTCCACAGAGGTCTCTGGCACAGACTTTTCCCTGAGTCATTTGCGTCCTCATCACTTTTGATCTTAGCCTGGCTCTATGCATCTCTCTGGCCTTTTCTCAGTCAGCTTACTTGACTTAGGAACACTTTGTCAAGGTTGGAGAAAGGGTGTCCCTTATCACCCTCACTTAATACCTTTGTCTAGAAGTACAAGGAAGTTGTACCCTTTCTCCCAGGGTCCTCCTCTGTTTGTTCTTATTGACAGACGTTTCTGTTTCACAAGCCGCTCTCAAATAAACACACCAAAGCTTGTGTTGATTACAAATGATCGGCTAATGGCTCAGGCTTGTCACTAGCTAACTCTTCTATTGTAAAAATTAACCCATATTACTTGGCACCTTTTCTCATACGGCATGCCCGTCTGGCTTCTCTCTGCATCTGCTTGCTAGTCCCCAGCTCCTCTCTTCCTCCCAGCATTCTCAGTTTGGCTCTCCTGCCTAACTTTATCCTGTTCAGGTATTGGTCAGTCACTTTCTTTACTAGCCCAATCGCAGTGACACATACTCACACAGTGTAAGGGAGCATCCATGGTTCTGATAGGTACTTACTTTTCTTCAGTCTCCTCTAATAGAACCCCTCCCCCATGTTTACATCTGAGAACAACGCCCAAACCTGCTGTATTAGTCAGGGTTCTGCAAAGGAACCAAACTGATTAAGTGAATGCACATATATTAAAAAGAGATGTATTAGCATGGCCTATAGGCTGTGGTCTCCTGCCGGAAAGGCAAGGAAGCCAGTAGTTGTTCAGGGCATAGGACTGGATGTGCCAGCTGTTCCAATCTGTTGCTGGAGTTGTGGAGAAATCCCCAAGAGCTGCTGCCCTCCAGTCTACATTAGAATCAGAAGAAGTAGGTTCTAATACCAGCAAAGGAATGCCTCAGCAACAGGGCAGATGAGCTTACCAGCAAGAGCATGGGCAAACATGCAAAAAGCCAAAGCTTCCTTCTCCTGTAGTCTTTGTATGTGAGTTCCACCAGCAGGTTTGACCCGGATGTAGGATGAATCTTGACACCTCAGACGATCTAGTCAAGAAGTCTCTCATAGGTGTGCTCTGCTGCTGAGGCTTTGCTTGATTATCAATGTTGACAGCCAGCATTAGCTCTCACAGGTCCACCCTTTGTCAACGTAATCACATCCTTATGCCCTACTGAATTTCTAAAGGAAACAAGAACCAGGCTACCATTATTCTAGCATGATATAACTATCTTATGTGTAGCCACAAATGCATTATTTATTTTAGAATACACATAAATGTACCTCGAGAAATGCTTCTCAATCAATGATGTATGATAAATAAAGAAAACAAATAATGCCTGCTTAATATGTGTTTATGTATACAAAAGCACATTCTTTTGGTGATAGGGCAAAAGTACTCATGCCACTTACAACCGTGCTTAACTGGTATTTTTAACTACCTTCCTCTGCTACCTATTCTATATTTCATTTACCTTCAGCTAGCACCTTAGCAGACCTTGGTGCTTTTCCTGGAGAAGTGACCTATACTTTTATTTCTGAAGGGTCTGTTGTTAGCATAAAGTTTGAAGGGGGACCTTGGGTTGGGGACCTTGGCAGGCAAGGGTGACTGAGGCAGGGAACAAACACGCCAGTCAGACAGAACTGAGTGAGAAGTTTTACTAGAAAGGGGAGGGAGGGGGAAGGAAAGAGAAAAGCGGTAAAGAGACACAGAGAGAGGACAGAGGAGAAGAGGGAGACAGGAAAAGTCCTGTCTGCTCCAGAGGAACAGCAGGAAAGAGCAGAACGAGGAGAGCAGGAAGAGAAAAGAGCCAGAAAGAGAGCAGAGCTGGAAAAAGCGTAAGTGAGAGGGGTCTGTGCTTTAATGGGGTCTGTTACACTCCCTACAGACTAGTACTCAGGGAACCCTGGGCTGACCAGAGTACTGCCTGCGTGCATTCTGCCACGTGACAGGGCCAGGCCAGCATAGTGCCTGAATACCAAATTCTGTTTGGATTGGTTCCTAGTAGTTTCAAATAGACTTTAATTGCAAGACATGGTAACATCAAGAGACACCCTAAAGGTGGTCCTGCACTCCAGACATAATATTCCCTACCTCCACTATGCAGAAGCAATCCAAATTCCCCCTGGCAGTCTGAATCAATCACTCCTCTAACAGTGTTAACCCTTTCTTTGTCTGTTGGTTTAAGGCATCCGAGTACCAAACTACCAAGACTCAAGCTTCCAGTTCAATGGAAGTGCTCTGGCAGGAGTAATCCCCTGTCTGGAACTCAGACTTTAGGCCAGTAGAACTTAAGGCTTTTGGGACAGGAAGCAAAAATTGTCCTAGTTTGTCATTAGGGGTGATAGTGAATGAAAGAAACCATTTTCTCACCTGCTTGATTCATGAACAGGTGAATTGCAGCTATGAGAGACACTGTGTATTATCTTGGATGCTGATTCAAAGCATCTTCCGGAATACCCTGCCACAGCCCTTCAGGCTCATGTAATTCATCTATTACTGTGTCTTGAAGAATTCATTCTGCCATTCTCTCAGGCCAGCTGCTTCAGGATGGAGGGGAACATGGTAATATCAGTAGAATCAATGAGCATAGGACCACGGCCATACTTCTCTGGCTGTGAAGTGAGTTCCTTGGTCAGAATCAATGCTGTGTGGCATACAGTGACAGTGGATAAGACATTCTTCAAGTCCACCGGTGACAGTTGGTGCTGAAACATTTCATGCAGGACTGCAAATCTACTTCTATCTTAATTATTCTTCTGAACCTGTAGTTCCTATGAAATGACCCCTAAGTATCTCTTTTCTCATGCCACATGTGGTTCTGCCATTTCCATGTAACACAAATGAGCTTAATTTGATCTTACTCTTAAGCCAGAGGCTTTCATTTATTTATATAAAGCAATATTTTATAAAAGTATATCTGTTGGTGTAGATGATCTTCACTTGAGTGCCCTGCAGGTTCTAGAAACATCATTTCCCTTAGCTCATCTGTCTCTGCCCACAGGTGGTTCCTTCTGGAGTTCCGTTTTGTTTGCAGACATCTTTCTGGCCCTTCTAAAATATATCTTGTCTCAATGCTTCATTGCCTTTTAACCCAGTCATATCAACGCCTTACATACTGCTCTTGCTGCTCTAATAATATGGCCTTAGAAAAACCCTCTTGTACCTAGAGTTGTTCTTTATTAAAATCCTAAATTATATCCTTGTCTATAAGTTCAACCACTCATATTATCAATCAAACTTCCATATTAGGATCAGAGTGTTTTCCCTAAAGTCTGGATCGTGACGATATTTCTTTGTGATCCCCCTCAAGTGACTTAGCAGGGTCTCTTGTGATGAAAGGTACCCCTGGATCTTGCCCTTGCCTTTCCTGACATCCTTACCCCCTCTTTTCCAAATATATTCACATGTGGTTTTCATCTGTCTCTCTCCAAGGTTACATACTCTTCTTTTCCATATGAATATATATGGAATACACACACACACACACACACACACACACACACACACACACACACACATGAAGAATTCCATGGCTATCCCTCCAGCTCACATGTGGAACACAAAAGGCACAGTGATGCACCCATCCACTCAAAGTAGAGCAAATTTTCTTCATTCTGCAGTCAAATTTTTCTCACTTCAAAGTCTATAATTCACTATACTAGATGGGGGACTTATTCCTTATATTAATACACAAACAGGTGATGGTCGCTTCAGATAACCTAAAAACTTTCCCTACATTAGTACTTATTGAGTAAATAACTACAGTTTCTTAAAATCTTTATGTTGATTTTTGTTTAATCAATTCCTGAAGTTTAGAATTCTAAATTGATTTTTTAAACACTAGCCTCAGAAGATATATCTTCATTTTTGCTTCAGAAAAGTGAGAAATGACATCATCTAAGATTAAAACTCTTTTTTGTGGGAAATAAAAGCCCAAATGGAGTCTTTGATGGACTTGAGACCTGTAGTGCTCAACCCACCAAGGAGATGAAAGCAGACCAATGATCACACGGGGCAGATGTGCAAGGACACAGAAGGAAAGCATAGAAGGCCGGGATGAAGCGAAGCAGCCTGTGGCACCCGCATCCTCTGTATTGGCTTCTCAGCAAAAGGCAACGCTGTAAAAATGCAATGTCAACATTGTATTTCACGATCACCTCCAGTAGCAAACAGTGTAGAAGGAGTGAAATGAAATTAGAGACCATTTCAAAAATCTGAGATGTGAAATGAAATAGACTTTCCACAGAAAATATAATTAACTTATTAGCTAAAATACTAATTTTACTTATATTTTTCAGTTACTAAATGTTGAAAATATTTACTCATTTCAACATGTAAAATTTCTTCAGATTATCTGTAGAGAGAAAATTTCTTAGTCTGTGGAAAGTTTCATCCTAAAATATGTTTTGAACCATTTCTTTTTTCACCCAACAGGAAGAGTAGCTCACACTTTCTTTTCACATGTATGATATACCTCAAAAAGCCAAAGTTGGAGCTCTCTTAAAAATTTCAGCTGTCAAAACAAGTTGATTTCTTTCTTTCTTTCTTTCTTTCTTTCTTTCTTTCTTTCTTTTTCTTTTCTTTCTTTCTTTTTTTTTTTTTTTTGTATTTATGAG